ACACACACACACACACACACACACACACACACACACACACACAGACACACAGACATTTGGTGTTTTATTCATACGTTCAAGGGGAGGGTAGAGGCTGGAGGGTTACCTCCCTCCCTAACATTCTTCCTACCCTCCCTCTCTTCCTCTCCTTCCTCCCTGCAGTTCAACAATACCCGTGACAGCCAGGTGTGACAGCCAGGTGTGACAGGCAGGTGTGACAGCCAGGTGTGACAGGCAAATGTGTGTGTGAAGCTGAAAGCTTGGAGTGACTGTCACCAGCTGACATTCACCTAAACATTACTTCATCACACACAGCTTTAAGAAGAGGTACGACAAAGCTCTTAGAGCAGGGAGAGAGCGAATCTAGTAGCGACCAACGATTATCTAAGCTAACCTAACCTAACCTAACCTAACCTAACCTAACCTAGCCTAACCTAAGCTAACCTAACCTAACCTACCCTAACCTAACCTAACCTAACCTAACCTAACCTAACCTAACCTAACCTACCCTAACCTAACCTAACCTAACCTAACCTAACCTAACCTACCCTAACCTAACCTAACCTAACCTAACCTAATCTAACCTAACCTAACCTAACCTAACATTATCTAACCTAACCTAACCTAACCTAACCTAACCTAACCTAATCTAACCTAACCTAACCTAACCTAACATTATCTAACCTAACCTAACCTAACCTAACCTAACCTAGCCTAACCTAGCCTAACCTAACCTAACCTAGCCTAACCTAACCTAACCTAACTTAACCTAACCTAACCTAACCTAACCTAACCTAACTTAACCTAACCTAACCTAACATTACCTAACCTAACCTAACATTATCTAACCTAACCTAACCTAACCTAACCTAACCTAACCTAGCCTAACCTAGCCTAACCTAACCTAACCTAACTTAACCTAACCTAACCTAACCTAACTTAACCTAACCTAACCTAACCTAACATTATCTAACCTAACCTAACATTACCTAACCTAACCTAACCTAACCTAATCTAACCTAACCTAACCTAACCTAACATTATCTAACCTAACCTAACCTAACCTAACCTAACCTAACCTAGCCTAACCTAGCCTAACCTAACCTAACCTAGCCTAACCTAACCTAACTTAACCTAACCTAACCTAGCCTAACCTAGCCTAACCTAACCTAACCTAACTTAACCTAACCTAACCTAACCTAACTTAACCTAACCTAACCTAACCTAACATTATCTAACCTAACCTAACCTAACCTAACCTAACCTAACCTAATCTAACCTAACCTAACCTAACCTAACATTATCTAACCTAACCTAACCTAACCTAACCTAACCTAACCTAATCTAACCTAACCTAACCTAACCTAACTTAACCTAACCTAACCTAACCTAACATTATCTAACCTAACCTAACATTACCTAACCTAAAAGCTTGGTTTATAATATAGCTGAAAAAACACCAACTGTTCTTCCAGTATATTATGATCATGTTTTGATACAGGTTAAAACCTGTACGGGTTTAGTGCTTGTTGACAGCTACACTAAACCTGTCATCCTTGTGTATATATATACATAGTCTTGTGTACACATCTGTGTGTATGTGAGTCACCATGTGTACCCATCCCGTGTGTGTATATATACGGTGGTGAGATTTGTATACACAGTTAAGAGATGAAGTCATACAGAGACTTTCTACTCACGGAGCCCGGCCTTGGGCCAGGCTCGTCTGGTGCTAGCCTGGTCAACCAGGTTGTTGCTGCTGGCGGCCCGCTGACCCACGTCCATTACAGCCTGGTTGATCTGGCACCTGGTAGAGACTTCTACACTTGTCCCAGCAGTTTTTTCTGAGATCTGGTAAGATGTTGAATAGTTTGAGACCACGGATGTTGATATAGTGTTCTCTTAGTGTGCCCAAGGTACCCCTGTTATTCACTGATAGCTTGTTACCAGTTGTTAGAGACACTTGTCGATAGACATATGGCTTGTCGTGCATATGTGTGTGTGTGTGTGTATGTGTGTGTGTGTGTGTGTGTGTGTCCACCTGTATTATACGTGGAGGGAGTTCAGGGGGTCAACGCCCCTGCAGCCCAGTCCTTGACCAGGCCTCGCAGTGGATCAGGCCCTGATCAACCAGGCTGTGTGTGGTGCGTGCGTTTGCTCCTCTCTCTGACACACACACAGATGTTAGGTAGTATTTCTTCAGTCACAGAGTAGTCAGGAAGAGGAATAGTTTGGGAGGTGACACAGTGGAGGTAGGATCCATTCACAGCTTTAAGAAGAGGTATGATAAAACTCATGGAGCAGGAAGAGTGAACCAGTAGCGACCAGTGAAGAGGCGGGGCCAGGAGCTGTGACTCGACAACACTACCAGCTAGCAACACAATTTTCAGAACACACGCGATACCACCAAAATTTTGTCCCTCAATTTACATAAAATATGAAGTTATAGAGCAGAAAAGAGAGAAAAAGAGAGAGAGAGAAGAGAGCTGCTCTCTTATTACCCTCAGGTAACCATCCATATAAAGAGACAAGTGCTCTTAATTGACCACTGGGAAACAAGAGACTTCCAGCTCTTATTGTAGCCTTTATAATGTATTGGACGCTCTTGAGTTGGCTTGTGGATCACTAGAAGCTCCTCCGGCTCACAACTCATGGACCCGGGTTCGATACAGGGGATGGGGGGGAAGGGAGATGTTGGGCATGTTTGCTTACACTTGTTGCCTCTTGTTTACCTAGCAGTAAGTAGGTACCTGGGTGTTAGTTGACTGAAGAGGAGAGAGAGAGAGAGAGAGAGAGAGAGAGAGAGAGGAGAGAGAAGAGAGAGAGAGAGAGGAGAGAGAGAGAGAGAGAGAGAGAGAGAGAGAGAGTAGGGGTCCAGGCAGCGTAAACAATCTGAAAGAAGCTTTAGCGTTAAACTAAGCGAAAACGTGATTGTCTGCACGTACACACACACACATACACACACACATACACACACACATTGGAGAGTGATGTAGTCGAGGCAGGATCCATACATAGCTTTAAGAAGAGGCATGATAAGGCTCATGGAGCAGCAGGGAGAGAGTGGACCTACTAGCGACCAGTGAAGAGGCGGGGTCAGGAGCTATACTCTACACTTACAACCCCATATAGGCGAGCACAGGTTCAAACCACTATAGACCATAGCTTCTGGCCTCAAGGCTGGGTATTAGGTCCAGACACCACCAGTGTGGCTGGGTATTAGGTCCAGACACCACCAGTGTGGCTGGGTATTAGGTCCAGACACCACCAGTGTGGCTGGGTATTAGGTCCAGACACCACCAGTGTGGCTGGGTATTAGGTCCAGACACCACCAGTGTGGCTGGGTATTAGGTCCAGACACCACCAGTGTGGCTGATCTACACTCAACGCCAAGGTCTTCTAACCAGAATATTGTCAACATTGGTAAACACAACTTGAAGAGATGTTTGTTATGTGACGTGAGGGACGAAGTTGACAGGTGATCCCTTGGTATGTGAAGGGAGTGGAAGGGAGAAAGGAAGGAGGAAGAAGGCAGGGAAGGAAGGAAGGAGGGAGGGAAGGAGGGAGAGAAGGAAGGAAGGAAGGAAGGAAGGAGGGAGAGAAAGAAGAGAGATGGATGCTTAATAAGGCTTTAAATCAACACATGAGGGTCATTAAGGCCACATATCACCTATTAACGAACTGATAACAATTTCAGATATTAGCTTATTATTATTTACGTAATGTACTATAGTACATGTACTATAGTACATGTACACAGATAATTATTAATGTTTTTACACTCACCAGGACAATGTTCTGACACGGGTCTATATTGTTTCCTGACGCGGGTCTTAGTTATATTACCCAGAGGACAAGTTGTTTCCTGACGCAGGTCTTAGTTATATGATGATCCACAGCTGGAGCATTTGGTCATCTGACTGAGGCCTTCCACTGGCTTACCCCTCCACCACTTTAAAAATTATGGTTATGATTATAACCTTCAAACCAGTAACAAGGAAGTATTATTGATGATAAACAAAGCATGAGAGGAGAGAGAGGGATGCTGGTCCCAGGCAAGAAGAACACAGATCTTATCATAGCATCCCTTTCTTAGTTTCTTACATACATAAAAGAGAATAATAATTATTTTTTTTGTCCCACAGTCTGTAAAATGACTTGAATATTCCAAGAAAACATCTCATGTCTTAATTATTAACTTTGTGAGCATACAAGTACATCAGTGCCATTGTGATGTAGTTCAGCTGGGCTTGTGAGGTCTCTGGGGAGACCTAATTTAACCAATTATATGGTCACACCTTGCCTTGGCAAACGTCTGCAGCCACGCCCACGTCTGAGGTCTTTTGTTCTGGACGGCGTCAGACCTAGGCGTCAGGTCGCACACGTGGTTGTGGAGGGTGCATGGACCACCATAAAAGCCCAAGGAAGAGCATGATCAGCAGATTCGTGCGGAGCTCTGGCCTGGGTGCAGAGCTCCTGAGCTGAGACTTAGAGCGGAGCTGCTGCTGGGGCGCAGGGCTCGGGAGAAGGCTGCTGAAATCTGGAGGAAACTGTTGGAGGCATTGGGCAGAGTACTGGCTTGGCGCAGTACTCGTGCTGTGTAGGTCTTGGGACCTGTGGCTTAGTTCCTGTGATGAACTGCCCTCTGAACTATATTGTAAGTTATATTCATTTTCGTCAAGTTGATTGTATTCCCTGTCTCACTGCTTATGGGTACCACCCCATTTATCTAAACCCCAATGATGTACTCCTGTTCCCAAATATATTATTGTTTCCATTACCCCCCCTACATGACACCATATATATTGGACTTGAGTTAACAAGGTTATTATTATTGCTGGTTTAAGTGGTTTAACAGGATCATTTAGCAGGGGAGACTCCACTCAGTCAGTAAGAGACAGAAATACAGGGTACAGGGCAGAAATACAGGGTATAGGGCAGAAATACAGGAACACACTTAGCATGGGTAGGGAGAAAGTGTACTCAGCAGTAGTACTCACACATGAGCCATCTCGTGAGCTATGATGAAGGCTGAGGTGAGTCCCTCATCCCTGTTAAGAGTACAGGACCTGGAGGGTTCACAGACCCCTGACACGGGTGCGTAGCCAGAGGGACCCCCCAGGTGGGTCCTGGTCAGCCACACACCAACGTCATGACGAAGGTGTTCAGGTGATACATGGTACAGACGTTCTGCCCACCTGTTCACAGCCTCCAGTGACTTCTTTGCTAGGCCTTCCCTCACCTGTATCAGAAACAAGAACATTATATTCACCTCGTTCCTTGAGTAGCAATGAAGATGTGTTAGTAAATGTTTTTGTTAAGTTAGTTTTTGAGTTTGAGAAAGACCTGCCTAGTATGGGCCAATAGGCCTGCTGGAGTGGTTTAGAAAAACACACAAGTAAACACTAGGACCTAATGTTTGCCTACGTGGTTTTTAAAATCAAGTTTGGGTATCTATTACCAAGGTTTATACCAGCCTGCTGCAGTGTTCCTGTTATGTTCCTATGAGATATCTGTCTGCCATTCCTTCTTGCATCCTCTTCCATTATGTTGATAAGACACATGTGCAACAGTCAGGTATCTTTATTCCGAAACGTTTCGCCTACACAGTAGGCTATTTCAGTCGAGTACAGAAGACCTAGCAGAAGCAGTAGAGATGTGAGGACGATGTTATCAGTCTATCACCCTGGAAGACGTAGTTTTGAGGTGATCAGTCCCTCAGCCTGGAGAAGAGTTCATCTCCATGGAGCTGAACTCTTCTCCAGATGAGGGACTGACCACTTTGTTCCAGACCATGAAGCTGAACTCTTCTACAGGCTGAGGGACTGACCTTGTTCCAGACCATGGAGCTGAACTCTTCTCCAGGCTGAGGGACTGACTACCTTGTTCCAGACTATGGAGCTGAACTCTTCTCCAGGCTGAGGGACTGACCACTTTGTTCCAGACCATGGAGCTGAACTCTTCTCCATGCTGAGGGACTGACCACCATGTTCCAGACCATGGAGCTGAACTCTTCTCCAGGCTGAGGGACTGACCACAATGTTCCAGACTATGGTGCTGAACTCTTCTCCATGCTGAGGGACTGACCACCATGTTCCAGACTATGGAGCTGAACTCTTCTCCAGGCTGAGGGACTGACCACCATGTTCCAGACCATGGAGCTGAACTCTTCTCCAGGCTGAGGGCCTGATCACCATGTTCCAGACCATGGAGATGAACTCTTCTCCAGGCTGAGGGACTGACCACCATGTTCCAGACCATGGAGCTGAACTGTTCTCCATGCTGAGGGACTGACTACCTTGTTCCAGACCATGGAGCTGAACTCTTCTCCAGGCTGAGGGACTGACCACCATGTTCCAGACCATGGAGCTGAACTCTTCTCCATGCTGAGGGACTGACTACCTTGTTCCAGACCATGGAGCTGAACTCTTCTGCAGGCTGAGGGACTGACCACCTTGTTCCAGACCATGGTGCTGGACTCTTCTCCAGGCTGAGGGACTGACCACCTCAAATACTATTTCTTCAAGTTTGATGAGGGATTGATTCAATCATCTTCATTACACTACTACACCAGCTACCTCTTTATATGACTGAAGAAGCCTACTGAGTAGGCGATGTTTCAAAGAAACAAGACTGTTACACGTGTGTCTTTATGTTCAACCTCCTTTCTTACGTTCTTACCCTCTGCTTCACCTTCCTACTTACACTCTGCTTCACCTTCCTACTTACACTCTGCTTCACCTTCCCACTTACACTCTCCTTCACCTTCCTACTTACCCTCTGCTTCACCTTCCTACTTACACTCTCCTTCACCTTCCTACTTACACTCTCCTTCACCTTCCTACTTACACTCTGCTTCACCTTCCTACTTACACTCTCCTTCACCTTCCTACTTACACTCTCCTTCACCTTCCTACTTACCCTCTCCTTCACCTTCCTACTTACCCTCTCCTTCACCTTCCTACTTACCTGCTGGCTCTACTCCCCAGGAACAATCATCTAGATCAAACAAGAATCTCATTCTGAGCCCCACACCTGTTACCTTAACTTCCTTACCAAGTGTTACCACACCTGGCTTACTCTTATCACATCTGGCTTACTGCTATTATATATATCTTACTGTTATCACACCTGGCTTACTGTTATTACACCTGGCTTACTGTTATCACACCTGGGTTACTGTTATCACACCTGACTTAGTGTTATCTCACCTGGCTTACTGTTATCACACCTGGCTTACTGTTATCACACCTTGCTTACTGTTATAACGTCTGGCTTACTGTTATCTCGTCTGGCTTACTGTTATCTCGTCTGGCTTACTGTTATCTCGTCTGGCTTACTGTTATCTCGTCTGGCTTACTGTTATCTCGTCTGGCTTACTGTTATCTCGTCTGGCTTACTGTTATCTCGTCTGGCTTACTGTTATCTCGTCTGGCTACTGTTATCTCGTCTGGCTTACTGTTATCTCGTCTGGCTTACTGTTATCTCGTCTGGCTTACTGTTATCACACCTGGCTTACTGTTATCACACCTGGCTTACTGTTATCTCGTCTGGCTTACTGTTATCTCGTCTGGCTTACTGTTATCTCGTCTGGCTTACTGTTATCTCGTCTGGCTTACTGTTATCTCGTCTGGCTTACTGTTATCACACCTGGCTTACTGTTATCACACCTGGCTTACTGTTATCTCGTCTGGCTTAAAAACTCAGAGACCTGAATTTTTATTTTCTTAACAAACTGGTTATAAGTCACAGCCGAATTTTAATGATCTGAGTCGATCCCAAGTTTCCCGTTGAAGAAGTCTGCCGTTAACTGAGCGACGTCTGCCGTTAACAGACAGACGTCTGCTGTTAACAGAGCGACGCCTGCCGTTAACAGAGAGAGGTCTGCCGTTAACAGAGAGGTCTGCCGTTAACAGAGAGAAGTCTGCCGTTAACAGAGAGAGGTCTGCCGTTAACAGAGAGAGGTCTGCCGTTAACAGAGAGACGTCTGCCGTTAACAGAGACGTCTGCCGTTAACAGAGCGACGTCTTCCGTTAACAGAGACGTCTGCCGTTAACAGAGGCGTCTGCCGTTAACAGAGCTACGTCTGCCGTTAACAGAGGCGTCTGCCGTTAACAGAGCTACGTCTGCCGTTAACAGAGGCGTCTGCCGTTAACAGAGCTACGTCTGCCGTTAATAGATACAAAGTTCTCCATTATTTTCACATTTGTTTTTACCTCAATAACAGTAAAGTTCTCCAGAACACACGGGGTCACACAAGAACACACGGGGGTCACACCAGAACACACGGGGTCACACCAGAACACACGGGGTCACACTAGAACACACGGGGTCACACCAGAACACACGGGGTCACACCAGAACACACGGGGTCACACCAGAACACACGGGGTCACACCAGAACACACGGGGTCACACCACAACACACGGGTCACACCAGAACACAAGGGGTCACACCAGAACACACGGGGTCACACCAGAACACACGGGGTCACCCAGAACACACGGGGTCACACCAGAACACACTGGGTCACACCAGAACACACGGCGTCACCCCAGAACACACGGGGTCACACCAGAACACACGGGTCACACCAGAACACACGGGGTCACACCAGAACACACGGGGTCACACCAGAACACCGGGTCACACCAGAACACACGGGGTCACACCAGAACACACGGGGTCACACCAGAACACACGGGGTCACACCAGAACACACGGGGTCACACCAGAACACACGGGGGTCACACCAGAACACACGGGGGTCAAAAACCAAAACACACGGGGTCACACCAGAACACACGGGGGTCACACCAGAACACACGGGGTCACACCAGAACACACGGGGGTCACACCAGAACACACGGGGTCACACCAGAACACACGGGGGTCACACCAGAACACACGGGGGTCACACCAGAACACACGGGGGTCACACCAGAACACACGGGGGTCACACCAGAACAAGGGGGTCACACCAGAACACACGGGGGTCACACCAGAACACACGGGGGTCACACCAGAACACACGGGGGTCACACCAGAACACACGGGGTCACACCAGAACACACGGGGGTCACACCAGAACACACGGGGGTCACATTAGAACACACGGGGGTCACACCAGAACACACGGGGGTCACACCAGAACACACGGGGGTCACACCAGAACACACGGGGGTCACACCAGAACACACGGGTCACACCAGAACACACGGGGTCACACCAGAACACACGGGGTCACACCAGAACACACGGGGTCACACCAGAACACACGGGGTCACACCAGAACACACGGGGTCACACCAGAACACACGGGGTCACACCAGAACACACGGGGTCACACCAGAACACACGGGGGTTACACCAGAAAAACACGGGGTCACACCAGAACACACGGGTCACACCAGAACACACGGGGGTCACACCAGAACACACGGGTCACACCAGAACACACGGGGGTCCACACCAGAACACACGGGGTCACACCAGAAACACACGGGGTCACACCAGAACACACGGGGTCACACCAGAACACACGGGGGTCACACCAGAACACACGGGTCACACCAGAACACACGGGGGTCACACAAAAAACACACGGGGTCACACCACAACACACGGGGTCACACCATAACACACGGGGTCACACCAGAACACACGGGGGTCACACCAGAACACACGGGGTCACACCAGAACACACGGGGGTCACAACCAGAACACACGGGGGTCACACCAGAACACACGGGGTCACACCAGAACACACGGGGGTCTCACCAGAACACACGGGTCACACCAGAACACACGGGGGTCACACCAGAACACACGGGTCACACCAGAACACACGGGGTCACACCAGAACACACGGGGGTCACACCAGAACACACGGGGGTCACACCAGAACACACGGGCCCACACCAGAACACACGGGTCACACCAGAACACACGGGGTCACACCAGAACACACGGGGGTCACACCAGAACACACGGGGTCACACCAGAACACACGGGGTCACAACAGAACACACGGGGTCACACCAGAACACACGGGGTCACACCAGAACACACGTGGTCACACCATAACACATGGGGTCACACCAGAACACTCGGGTCACACCAGAACACACGGGGTCACACCAGAACACACGGGGTCACACCAGAACACACGCGGGTCACACCAGAACACACGGGGTCACACCAGAACACACTTGGTCACACCAGAACACACTTCGTCACAC